GCCTGTCCTGGGGTACGCGCCTCCGCGAGCGGTGGCACCGGCAGGCTGGGGCCTCCTCGGGGCGGGGGTCGGAAACGCCCCTGGAGCTTGAGAGAAAAGGGGTCGGCTGGGAGCGCTGGGATGGCCGGAGAGGGAGGCGAGGCGGCGGCAGTGCTGGGGCTGCCCCGTGGGCCCAGGCGTGCACTGTGTTTCCAGAAACCTGCCGTTCTCCTCAGCTAACACCCAGGATCCCTCTGAGGGGAAGGTAGTGGTCCTTTTATCTGTTGTGAGCACCTTTTGCTGTTAAAACTGACGGTTTTTCCTCCCTGGGTTAATCATGACACTAAAAGCCTAGGTCGGCTTTTTACTTCCCAAAAGTAAAGCCCTTGGTCTAATGGTAGAAGCTGTGGAGAGGGGGAGTCTCCCTCATAGGGGTGACACAGCTCATCTTTTAATTAGCTTCTTATGCACGATTAATTATTTATTTAACAGCAAGCTAGTGTGTTTTGTCTCCACCAAGCTTTTCTAGTCAGGCAGCTAAGCATGGGGGAAAAAGGACCAGCATAAATTTTGTACATGTGAAAATAACTTTGGTGGGTTTGTTGCTTTTTTTTTAAGTTGCGTAGACAAACTGTAATGTAAACCTTAACCTCGAGGGCTGGAGAGTGGCAGATGCAAGGCTGGTCTCCACTAGAACACACCTGCTCTGGGGCCTCCCTTCTCTCTCATTCCCAGTGCAGAGGAGGGGCCTGGAATGGAGGCTGGGTTCAAGCACATCGATCTGTGACTGTTTTGTCTTCTCCAGGTGACAAGAGAGAAGCAGCTGAGTACTTCATATTTGCTTTAAGAGTATTTTCCTAAACCGTATGTGGTGCTTAGCAAGGACAAGAAGTAGTACTTGAAAAGCCTTTTGAAAGGTAAGGTTGAGAATGCATTTAATACACTGTGCTGGTAACGTTAAGTATGTGAAGATGTATGGCATGGGTTGGGTTAAAAACTGCACACCAAAGAAATTCTTGAGACTCAGGAATGGAATAATTTTCTACCAGGAAATCCAGGAACTGAGAGTGATTTTTGTCTGTGCTATCGTATCTCATGTAGTAACTCTGGATCGTGTTATTTACTTAAGTGCTGGAGTGGCTTGTGTATACGGAAGCAGAAAAGAGTAGAATAAGGGTACTGGATAATGCTGGTGGAAGTGATCAGATATTCACCAGAGAAAAACAGAAACTTCTGATGTGTGAAATAAGGAGAACTATTTGGAGGATTGATGACTGTAGTTAAATATTTATTTTATGACATCAACACACTGCAGTTAAGAGTTGCTTGATGAATATGTAACTTAGAAGCTGCAGTGGCTCTAATGCTTTTTAGCTGGTGGAGATCTCAGAAAATTTTGTAGTATGATTGTGTATGTGCTTATAACATAGCGGACTAAGGATAACAATAAGGACTAAGATAACAATATTGTATGAGAGAAGAGCTTTATAGATTGTTTATTATCCAGATAATACTCAGAAAAGAATACTTAGTTGCTACATGTTGGAGAACAGGAGAAACTGCCATTAATTTGTAAAAGACCTTACAGCTTCCTCCTGTGTGCCTCTGCTCAGCCCTCACCAGAAGTTCCTATGCGACTGTGTCTGTGAGGGTGGCATCAACCAGCAAAATAGCTGCCGAGAGCTGCAGTGCAAAGGCGTGAATGCACAAGAGCTCTGTGGTGCATTTAAGTGTAAGTAAAATACTTTCATGCATAAGTAAGCACATTTTCTGTGTCATAACAACTTTGTATGAGGAACCTCTGTTGTACAAGCAACAAGTAAATCTCAATTGTGTTATGCTACCATTGCTTGTCATTATTAAAAGAGAAAGAAAAAGATTGTTAGAATTGCTTATGTTTGACATCTGGGGAATGGAGGTGGATCCGCTATCCTCAGGGCAAGAATGCCCCTGGGCCCAGCCCTGCCTGGATCAGAGGAGAAGGCTGCAGGTCCTCAGTGTGAACTGAGGAACACATCAGCCCCATCCAAACCTTCTGCAGGACCTCACTCCTGCTCTGAAGGAGGAGGAGCAATGCAGGAGAACTCAAGTGGGAAAGGCTGTCAGATCTTTAACACTCGCCAGTGGTTACTCAAATGTTTTTGTCTATGTGGATCTTAGCAGAAAATTTGTGTCTTTTGTCTGTGTGTGCATGTGTGGAGATTTTTCAAAACTATGCCACACAAAACATGAACAGTATAGGTTATTTATTAAAGAGATGTAACAAGAAAAGATTAAGTTGTTATAAACTGGAAAACAGGAAGGGATGGTCTTCACCTTGGGAAAGACTTTCTCCTGTGTGTCCCTCTCTGAGCTCAGCCTCTGTTCCCACATGCCCATCTTTGTGATCTTGAGGATTGTCACTGAAATACTCACTGAGAGTTACTACACAGGTGAACAGATGTGTGAAAACTGTGTAACTTGTTTATATGTTGGTCTCTACAGAAAAATGAGTGAGAAGCCGGTAATGGCAAGTGTTGTTTGTGTGCATGAGTCCTCTAGCTCCTTCTTGTATTAATTAGGTAAATGTTTCTTGTTTTATGCCATCGCTACATATCCTTATTAAGACAGAACAGCAAAGATAAACTCAGCAAGGTTTATCTCCACCAAGCATGGATTGATTCATTGTCAAGATAGGAGCTACTCCTGTGTCTGAACTGGACCTGAATTTTTACTGTCCCAACCCTAAGATTCAAGTTTGCTGTTGAAAGCAGTGTTACAGCAGGTGGTGTGAAGAAGACAACAGTGTGCACAGCTTAAGCTAATTGTTATATAAGGAAATATTAAAGTTTTAGGGTTATGCTATAGGTAATGACTAAAAGTATGCCTAAATTTTGCTTTGTTATACAAAACATAGAAAAGATAAATATAAGGAAAAAAAGGTGCAGCAAGTGCTTAGGATAAATAGAGTATCTCCTGTGTATATGCAGTTTTCAGCATGGCAGAATGACGGGTAGCTTTTGCTTGTTACTTTCCTACTTATGAAGTAGTTTTTCAGGTGAAATAGCCTTGATTAGCAAGCTGTGTGATGAGAAGCTCAGAAAGATGGAACCATCAGCAAAGGTGTCATTTTCCTCAACTTTTTCAGATAAATACATGTAAACAATATATTAAATATGTAATTAGAGATATTTTAGGAGATGAAAAATAAGAAATTAATTTAAATCACTTGCTTTTAACACTGGGTGAACATAAATCCACATTTCTAAAAATATCTCATTTATTGGCTGTAGTAGCTAGTATGCTTATTTACCTGTATTTTAAAACTTCACTCATTACAGTGATGTTTGGTAAAATATTGTTGGAGAAATTAAATACGAAGTTGTTGAACTGAACCAGAACTACTGATCTCCTCACAAGAGGAGTGGGATATCAATCTAATCTTCCCAGCTGCCCTTACATAATAGATATGGGGCTCTGGAACTTGAGGGCCAGACAAACGAGGATGTTGAAGAAAGCCCATCCAGGGGCTCGCCTAGGGTCAGTCAGTCTGCCCTACGTGTTACAACTGCACCAGTCAAGAAAGAAAGGAGAGTAATTGTTGTAGGTGATTTTCTTCTGAGAGGAACGGAGGGTCCAATATGCCAACCGGACCCATCCCACAGGGAAGTCTGCTGCCTCTCGGGGGCCCAGGTTAGAGATGTTACCAGGAAACTCCCTGGTCTGGTACTGCTCTCTGATTATTATCCCGTTAGCTGTTCAGGTTGGTAGTGATGAGGTAGAGCAGCGGAGCACAAATGCAATCAAGAGGGATTTCAGGGCACTGGGACAATTGGTTGAAGGATTGGGAGCACAGGTAGTGTTCTCCTCAATTCCTTCAGTAGCAGGGAAGAATACTGGTAGGAACCAGAAAACACTCCAGATCAATACATGACTCAGAGGATGGTGCCATCGGTGGAGTTTTGGTTCTTATGATGTTGGGAAGGTTTACCGAGT